TTATCTGCCTCTTTTGACTATCCAGTCTTTAGGTGCTTATGACTTTGTTTTTCCTGTTACATTCTAGCGGCTTTCCCCTTGATATTTTTAGACCCACTACCTCTTCTTGTTCCCCCTCCCCTATTTATTTTAGTTCTGGACATCTGAAGAAGTGGGCTGTGCCCATGAAAGCTCACAATACCATCTACATGTTTTGTTAGTCTGTACAGGATAAACTTAAAAAACAACAAATAGTCTCGTAGAACTATCTCAACTACCCCCTGAAGCTTTTGAACACTCCCAGAGACTTCAGATTTTCACCCAGTGAAGTCACTCACACTGTGATACCCACAGAATATTTTATCTGTTTGGTTCGTTTAACATATTTGCACAGCATTCAGAATACATCCTATTGACAAGGGTGGAATGATTAGATTAGATAAAATAGATCTCTTTATTCTTAAAAATGCATAGTTATCACCCAGAAGACAGAATGTCCTGAAAAGTTATTGTACATGTTTACTTGTAAAAAACAAATACTGGCTGGTCATTAGAAAATGTAACAATGCTGACAGCAGATGTGCTTCTTTGCTTTAGATGTCTGCTTATAAAAAAGAGCAAGTATGTCAGAGGCTCAAAGATGACATCAGGAAAAGTTCCTTAATTCACAGATGACTGCACCTTTCCAAAAACGTTAACATGGAAAAGCTGGATTGATTTAATCATCCATACAAGCAAATGATACTTAGTGCCAAATTGGTCTTTTGGGATCTTTTCCATGTAAATAATACAAATCAAACCTGGAGGTTCAGTGCCGATATGATCTGACAAGTGAGCCAAGATTTTCACTGTACTTTGATCCAGCTCCAAAAACATACTCAAGGTAAAATTGGTTGTGTTTAACCATTTTCCATTTCAGTTTTAAATTTTAGACATTTATCATATGGGAAACTTGCCTATAGTGCTTAAAAGACAAGTCTGATTAAACTGACTCATAGCCTTAAACATATCGATCTTTGTATATTTGATATTGAGACTGAAAAACAATTTACAATATGCCACCTGATGAGATTCAGCATTACCTAATTGTTTTTAAATGGTGTATTCTGGATTTGTACACCCTGACTCAGAATCTTCAAGTATTTCTAGCACTGTTCCCTTTTTCTTCTATTTAAATGTTTGAAGCTATAATTCTGAAGACAGTAAAGTGGATAGGCTTTTGTTTTCTAAATGACTTCCCAACTTTACCACATTCTTCCGTTCCACAAATAGTCAGAAAATACTCTGCAAACTGTCATGAATTGCCCTTAGAAGAAAAACTCTGTATGTATTCACTTTATTTTGATTTGCAGACTGCTTTGGTTATTTTGTTATTATAACTCAAGCTTAAGTGTTAATTTTATTTTTATCTTTGATTGTAAAAAACAATAAATCTCTTTCTGTAGAACCTATTTTAATAATAGAGTGAAGATGCAGCAATTCAAAATCTGCAGAAATAAAGAAGAAAATCTTGGCCAATGCTTTCAGAATTAGGTACCTAAATATGGATTTAGGCATCCAGATTTTTTTAAAATTGATTCTTCTTAGTAATAAGAACCTAAGAATGGGCATACTGGGTCAGACCACCAGTCCATCTAGCCCAGTATTCTGTCTTCCAACAGTGGCCAATGCCAGATGCCCCAGAGGAAGTGAACAGACCAGGCAATTATCAGGTGATCCCTCTCCTGTCATCCATTTCCAGACTCTCACAAATAGAGTCTAGGGACACCATTCCAACCCATCCTGGCTAATAATCATTGATGGATGTAACCTCCATTAATTTATCTAGCTCTTTTTTGAACCCTGTTAAAGTCCTAGTCTTCAGAATATTTTGTGGCAATGAGTTCCACAGGTTGACTGTGCACTGCATGAAGAAAAACTTTTTTGTTTGTTTTAAACCTGCTACCTGTTAATTTTATTTGGTGACCCCTAGTTCTTACGTTATGAGAACAAATAACTTTTTCTTATTCACTTTTTCCACACCAGTCATGATTTTATAGACTTCTATCACATTCCCCTTTAGTCTCTACTTTTCTAAATGAAAAGTCCCAGTCTTTTTAATCTCTCTTCAAAAATCTCTTTTTAAATCTCTTTTCAAAATCTTGTGGATTTTTTAGCTTCCATCAATTACTAACTGGTAATATTTAATATTAGAAAGGCTCTTTTCTCTGCCCCCCTTTCTTTTTTGTATGTGTGGGTCAAGGTTAATGAAAATAAGACATCTTTTATTTTGGGTCTTAAACATAAAATGATGTGTCTACCAGAAATGTTGGATAAAATATTTGCTCTCCTTGAAGATTGTGATATTTGTATTCTAAGCCTCACCACAGTGGGTTTCTTTAAATAGAAGCTATACTTTACTCCTAAATTGCTTAAGGCAAAGGAAGCAGAGATGATGTTTTTATGAATGTTTAAATGCAAATGGAACTGAGAGTGAATGCTATGCTAGCTAACATCAAAGGCTCACCAAAATCTCTGCATTAATGAGGCTCTTTGTTTCCTGGATCACAGATTACAACAGGTTTCCAACTCATTGCCAAGGTTTTATCTCCATTTGGGAGGCCTGTAAACCTCTGACGATTTTTTTCAGATACAAAACAAGAGGAGAATCTGAAAGAAATGAAAATTTAAAATAACAAATATTCCATTCAAATTATTCCTCACATTGATTACAGCTTTGATTTGAAAAAATAATCTGAAAAAGAAAGAAAATTTACAAAGGAACTCCCCTAAAATCAAATTTGATTTGACTGGCTGAGTAAGGAAGCTTATAAGCAGAATTATTTATAGTATCCCTATCTATTTCACACTTCTGTTTCCACCCCCCCCCCCCAATAAGTTGTAAGCATTATGTGATATAAAAAAAATCAAGTATCAGGTCATTGTAAAAATTAAATATATTGATTACTTTTTAAAGTGGTACCAAATAATTCTCACCCCCAAAAAAGCAATAAAAAGACACGCACAACAATAAGTCCCTTAATTAACAGGCAAAATAGGGACCCAGATTCTCAGCTCCTTATTTCAAGTGTTGAATGCCACAAATATGTGCTATATTAGGCCATAAAGACCAATTTACATGGCGTCACTACAGCCTGAAGAAAAACTCTCCCAAACCCCCAGGCTATCTTATGCAATCTTAATTAAGGAAAACAAACAGCGGGTGTGTGTTTTTAAGCTACCAGAGACATGCACAGGACTTGTTGTATGGGATCAGCCGAGATGGGGAGTTTCCTTTCCATGGGAACTGTGGGATTTTTTTTATCTCTCCTCTAAACTGACGCCAAAAACAGACCTGTCTTGGAAATTGGCCGCGAAGATGTTAATTTCATGTTTCCGGGCCCTCCGGGCAAGTTAGGAAAACTAATAATTTTCTGAAATCGGACGTCACGTCTGTGTGTCTCATGAGATCGGGGCGAGGGGGCCAAGCAATACTTGCCAACGAGAAAGCCCAGGACCCGGGCTGGGCAGAGGGAAGGTGGCTAATGAGATGTATCCTGCCAGTTACAAACTCAATCCATTACCACGCTGCCTCGAACCTTGCAGGGTTGCACGTTGGCTCGGCCCTGGCAGAGAGGCAAGGAAAACCGGGGTCGATCAAAGCGGGCAATACATGAATGAATGAATGAATGAATTCCCCATCCAAACTTCCGAAGCCCGTGCAATGGAACGGGCCCGATCCTGCTTCCCCCGGGTAAGTCACTGGCGTCCCCCACTCACTGCAGGATCGGGCCCCGCGGCCAGCAGCACGCCTGAGCGAGGGAGGGGTGCAGCGCTAGGGCTGGCTGGGAGCTGGGGTGGGGGGGTTAACATTTCAGCCACTGGCGAGTCCAAAAATAAAACTGGAATCACGCTCCGGAACCCCCAAAGCCGCCTTAGATACCCCGCCCCACGGGAGACCCTGCCCCTGGTGCCCATGGTCCTGCACAGATTGCTGGGGAAGGGGGGAAGGTATACAGCGGTGAGTCCCTTAAGGCCCCGGGCTCCCCCAGCTGGGGTGGGGGGGTTAACATTTCAGCCACTGGCGAGTCCAAAAATAAAACTGGAATCACGCTCCGGAACCCCCAAAGCCGCCTTAGATACCCCGCCCCACGGGAGACCCTGCCCCTGGTGCCCATGGTCCTGCACAGATTGCTGGGGAAGGGGGGAAGGTATACAGCGGTGAGTCCCTTAAGGCCCCGGGCTCCCCCCTCGCCGGG